AGGGCAACCAACAAGGCATATACAGGTCTGTCTCATCATGTTAGAGCAGGATGCTTCCCACCTCTACAGGTAACATTTTTGTGGTTAAATTAATTAATTGTGCTTTTATTTCCCTTTATAGGTTTGGCAGTTCTCTGCTGGTGGACCAATCTTTTCATCCCCCTGTATCTCAGCATCAGAGCAAGAAGTATATTTTGGTTCCCATGATTGCTTTATCTACTGTTGTGACATGAGCGGCCACCTCCAGTGGAAACTTGAAACTACTTCAAGGGTATATGCAACCCCTTTTGCTTTCCATCACCCCAATCATAGCAGTGAGACATTTCTGGCAGCAGCATCAACTGATGGGAAACTCTGGATCTTGGAATCCCAGAGTGGGCAACTGCAAGGTGTATATGAACTTCCTGGAGAGGTGTTCTCTTCTCCTGTGGTGTGGGAATCAATGCTCATTATTGGGTGTAGAAATAATTATATTTATTGTCTGGATTTATTATATAACAATAAAAAATAAAGTGGCGCTGTAGCTCAAGTGGTAGAGCGCTCGCCTTGAGCTGAAGAGCTGAGGGACAGCGCCCAGGCCCAGAGTTCAAGCCCCACGGCCGACAAAAAAAAAAAAAGAAACAACAATAAAAAATAATCAAGTCCTGATCCAGTAAGTATATATGCTTGTGAGATGTTGAAAATATTTTATCATTATACAATATGTAGATAGTTTTACATTAAAGATTATATTTTGGCTAAGAAATTTTTGTACTACAATAGAGAAGAACCATATTTACTTCCTATAGGAGTAGCCTAAGCTTTTATACGGAGAGGGTAAAACACATCAGTATATTTAGCTTTTGCTTTAAATTATGTAAAGTATGCTGCTATGATCTGAATGATCTCAAAACTCATGGAAGATTAATCCACCTTATGAGGTGTCAAGAGAGTTTCAGAAATTTAATCTGATGTGATATGTGGAGGTGGGACCTTCAGGGTATTAAGTTAAATGACTTCACAAGGTAGGGCCCTAATCCAAAGGGACTATGGCTTTATTTGGAGTGGGTGTGTGCGCATGCGTACGTACTGATCCTGGGGCTTGAACTCCGGGCCTGGATACTGTCCCTGAGCTTTTTTTTTTTTTTTGGGGGTCCGGTCGTGGGGCCTGAACTCTGGGCCTGGGCGCTGTCCCTCAGCTCTTCAGCTCAAGGCGAGCGCTCTACCACTTGAGCTACAGCGCCACTTCCGGTTTTCTGGTGGTTTATTGGAGATAGGAGTCTCACGGTCTCTCCTGCCCGGGCTGGCTTTGAACCGCAATCCTCAGATCTCAGCCTCCTGAGTAGCTAGGATTACAGGCGTGAGCCACCAGTGCCCGGCTCCCCTGTTGGTTTTCTAGAGAGCCTATGTTTGGCTACATATTTTATATAATAGTGTGCTTCCTCTCCTCCCCTCCCTTGTATATATTCTATCAGTTATGTTTCTCTGGTGAACCATAGAACATTTAGGTTAATATGTGTATGTGTGGTGGGGGTGTTATAAAAAAGACCCCAATGGGAATGAAAGGATCATAATAGACTTAGTGAGTTAAAAGGACCAGTAATGTGACATACCATTTACTAACTTTAGTACCCTAGCACTTGAGCCACAGTGCTACTACTGCAAAAGGCTAATTTATCAAATATGATTTTTTTATTTGGTGTGTATGTTGTTAAGGACTGAACTCACGGTTTATGCATGCTCAGTAAGTACTCTGCCTCTGAGATGTATATTCCCAGCTTATTTGGTATTTTGGAATGAGCTAATAATGTAGAATAAAAGGTGTTTGCTGTACAATTTGGTGTATTGTGATTTTAGGCATTCATTGTTCCTAGCTATGTAACTCAAAACCTCTTCACAGTTCTTCAGCCCACACTGGTAAAGACACAGCTGCTATTCTTTAAGCTCTAAATGCTCAGCTTGGGCTGCCATGTGGCTCAGTGGCAGTTGACTCCAAGCCACATTGCCCACAAGTTCTCAGAGGAAGCTGGCGGTGGTGGTACCCGGCCCTCAGTGTAAGGAGGTTGTAGGCTAATTTCCAATTTAGGACTGAGATAAACATTTTCATTTGCCACTATTGACTATTTTTCCCCAAAATACATAGTGAAAAAATAAGTACTGTCGCATACCTTGTAATTTTTCTTGTTCACCAAAAGATAGATAAATTTGAGTCTGCTTGTAGAACATCACCAAAGTTGAAAAAACTATAAAGGAAATTCCATTAATGCCAAAGGTCTTGTTGGTATTTTTTATTGAAAGATCTTTCCCTTCATTTATGGACATTTTACACTCAGAAATCTCAAATAATATTGGAATCACACTAAAGTGTTTTCATTAAGTCTCTACTTAATTTTTATTGTTGGTAAAAATATTACAAGACACTTGTAGCTAGTGTTTCTGCTTTAAAATAAGCAAACTAAACATCACAAGAAGAGACAATGAATACATACTATACATTTGCAGATAACTTGCTAAAAATGATAGCTTAACAGTAATTATTTTCTGTATTGGAAACAATTGCACTTGAAAAATTAAAAAAGTAAACAAAAAACTCTCTAGTCATATATATATATATATATATATATATATGACTATATATATACATATAACTATGAACAAGCTTAATCATCTATAACCTTGCCAGGAAAAACAAATTTAAATTAAAAAAAAGCTTATGTATTTAATATAGCAATCATTCATTTAAAAAAGTCTTGAAGTTTTTATATGTTTTTACAGAATTTCCCCATACATAGTTTGTTGCTCAGAAAAGACTGCAACACAACTAAAGCAAAATAACACTTCATTGGTATTTAGTGCAAATTTGGGATGATTTGTAAATGAAATGTTAAACATTTACCCTTCAGAGGTTGTTAGCATAGGTAGTGACTGCCCTTCCCTCAGTAGACTCTTCTTTAAAGACTTTGGTGAGATGTTATGAACTGAGGCATTTTTCCTATTTGGTATGGGCTCAGTGGTGTTTGTGCTAGGAGAGGGTTCATTCGTCTACCATTCTTGGTGAATGATCTTCTTTCCCCATTTGTTCCCTGCCAAAACTGTAACAGTCCAAAGCTGATAGGATAGAAAGAAAAGTCAACTTGGAAGAATTACTGTAGTACTATACTTCCAGGGCTTTAGGTTGAAAGATGTGTATTAAAAAGTGTTATATTAATGAGGAAATCATTGAACTAAGATATGCTTACATATAAGATTCGAAGTGAACATCAGTGAACATCATGGAAAACGTGCAGTAGAATATTAATTGCTTCCAGTAGCAATAGAAAAGTTACACTGATTCTTAACATTGTCTGACAATCCAGTATATATAGTTTTAAATCCAACTTGTAAGAGTACATCTACCCACTTGACCACACATGCCAGCTACTACAGTGAAGCTGAGCCATTTTTCCTAGAAAGAAAATGGTTTATAAGGTAAACAGCTTTGCTGATATTCTTTAAGGTAAATGATAGAATAACAGCACATTGCATATTGAGTAAGCATAAAGGAAAGTAATTGTGGATACTATAAAATGTTATAATAGGAGAGGAAAAGAGACGTAATCCCCCCTACACTAGACAAAGAATTCACATCTATATTTAGGAATAAGAATCTTAAGAGTGATGGCAATGCCATGAAATGTAAAGGTAGTGTCAGCAGTATGTGGTTGAGGGATTGCTGGTATGTCTATGTTTCCAGTAGAGCAAATTTAGGGAAATAAAAGTTTAAAAAAAGAAAAAAGATGTGGCTTTGAAACTGCCAGGTCCCTTCTTTGTGTATGATAATAACAAGGCCACTTAAACTCTGAGATATTTTGTAAAGGTAGCAAGGTGAATGCTCTAAATTGTAAATGCTACTGAACATTCAACTCTAAATATGAATGGTTCGATTACAGCAAAGGGAAAAACCCCATTCTTTAAGGAGTCCTTAGTACAAAGGCTCTAAATCTTCCTGTTAGCTTTCCCTAAAGACCAAAGGGAATTTTTAGACCCATATAAAGTTGATAGCTGGTTTGGACGATGGTTGTGTTTTCCTGTCTCATTTTGCTGCTTTGGATGAATGAGCCTCCCCATCAGTCTGATTACACTAGAGTCAGTGTAGCTGAAGGTTTTTAACCTTTACAATAGATTAGAATTCTTTGAAGAGTTTTTGCTAGAATACATTCCCCACAACGTCCTCACAGGATCTGGGTGTCTCCTGGACATCTGAAGACCCACTATACTAAATGGGAGATCCTCAGAGATAGAATATGCACCTTCTTTCCTTCTCTGATATGTAATTTATTCACCATAGCAAATAAAAATGTTCCTTAGAAGCCAACTAGGCTGAATGTCCCCCATGTCCTTAGGGAAGTACCAGTAATGGGGACTCACATTGTCTTGATCACCGTGTACCCCACAGTGTGGGAGAGGAGTAGACCTCTCTTCTGGTTACAGCTTCAGGCTGGGGAAACTGATGAAAACAAAGCATAGGCACAGATGTTTTCCCTGTTCTTGCATTCAGGAGAATGGACATTCTTGTTTTATCTATATACAGTTCTTTCACCATTACTGTAGAAAGGGTAGAATATGCAAACATGGTAGAGCAAATGTTTTGGATAGAAGAAATCAAGTGTAGAGAATCAAAAGCACATCATGGAGATTGGCAAAAGCATGTGTTCTGGATGGTGTGTGCGTGTGTGAGGGCCATGGAATGGACGTGGCAGGCTCTCCTGAGGAATCTTGGTTTGAAGATTTTGCTTCTTGAGGTCCCTTGGACAGAAGGAACCATCTCTTGAGAACTAGGGGGAGCTCAAGGCACCATGACCCAGGGTTGTGCAAATACACTCTATACAATGAACACCACCAGTTCAGTTCCTAAACATTATTTTAGAGCCTATAAAACATGCGTCTTTTCCCTAGCTTGGTTCTTTACTCATATAAAAAATAAATAAAAAGGGCAAGAGAGGAGCCAATAATTGGTAACAGGAATAAGTAAGAATCACTCTTTACTTAATAATCTGTGGACAGTCGCTCCAAGCCTTTGCTTTTCTTTTGGCCAAAGCCAGCCAGGCTGGTTCTGTGGATACAGGGGCAGCATCTGGGGTGGAGAACCTCTTGGTGACTTCTTTTACCAGTGGTGCTGGTGGAGCTGAATCTGAGATCTCCACTGGATTCATTTTGAAGGAAAAGGAGAAGGACATGAGGACCACACTTAATTAACAGAATTGTATGTGCTTATTGTATACAACATGATTTGACAATATATACCTATCTAGAGAGAGACATATTCAGAAAGAAAAATAGAGCCTCCTTATTTACACACAGGTGCCTGCATGACAAGCAAGAACCTAAAGGCAAATTTTGGAATTCTGGTATACAGCCAGTCAATTATAAAGACAAAGATAGAGCCTTCAGTGTGGATCTATCAAGCTAGTGAGATTACCAGCTCCCTCTACCTGAGCCCCACCCATCTCCCCAATCTCATTACTTAACAGTCTTGGCTAGCAATTCCTTTGCATCATACTACTTTCTATATTAGAGTGTAGGTTTCTGTGGAAGGCTGTGTGAGGCAGAGGGCTCACATCTCTTCTTGGGGTCACCCATGCACATATGCTTCTTGAACTGAGGAAACACTGATTGAGATGACACATCTCAGAACAATGGCTTGTTTTGTTATGATGGGGCTGTTCTGAGTTGCAGTAGCCCTTTCAAAACTTCCAGTCAGGCAGAGAAAGGTATGACCTCTTCAACTTTGTAACTTTCACTTTAGTTTCCCTCCTCATTCTGACACTTAAAACTCTTAAATTCCTGTAAGATCAAATGAAATAATGCCCACAGAAGTTACAGTAATATAAAATATAACATGTGTACCCCCAGTAGTAACTATGTCTTTTTCCCCATATCTATATGTCACATGATTTCATTATTCTTTTCTCTATTCTATGTGCACCCATTTACCCATCCACTTTCTACCACAATTTGAGGTAGCACAAGACCCTCATCAGATATGGCTGCCTAAATCTTGAACTTCCTAGTATCCTGATATGTAAGCTAAAGTACAACTCCTATCTTTATAGATTACCCAGGCTGAGGTATCCTATTTCAACAGTAGCAATGGACTTAGACTGAGGCTCTCTGGAGAAAAGTTTGGTGAGCAAGGAAACAGGTGTCCCATTAACCCTTAATAGAGGTCTTGTTCAGATCCATCCAGCCTCAAAGCAATTTGTAATAAGGAAGCAGTTGGAAATTATTGGATCATTTTATTCTTTTAACAGAATAAAGTATTTTTAAATGCTTGCTTTATGTGATACTATCAAAATCTGAGATTGTCAATCAAGGACACAGTACTACGAACTTTACCGTGTAAAGTCACAGACTATCAGAAACTTGCTATGTGAAATCGTATCAGTAGTCACTTTTACCTGGAGCATCTGAGCCCCGTGGGTCCAGAACACAGAAGTAGCTTCCACTTGCAACACAGATGCAGAACCCCAGGTAGGAGGTTTCACCCAGCATTGCGGACCCTGAGTCTATTCAGCTTAGACTTGCTGTCAACCCTCTTCGTCCAACTTGCTTTGGTGTGAGCCTATCAAAATGCAGCTCCATTTAAACTGTATTTAAACTGTATACTACCACCACTCAAATCCTATTAGGCTCTTATCTCTTCCTTTAAAGTTTTTCTGGTAGATGTTCTTGCTGCAACAAGTTAATAAAATTGTCAGACTACAGGCTCATACTGACTCGTTAAATGTTCCCAAATTTAGTGAGCCAGTTGATGTCACACTGCTAGCTTCAAATCAGCATGGAGGAAGTGTTTACATCATGGCACATGGTAAATGATACAAATCAGTGTTCTTCCTCTCCCCCAGGGAGCTGAATTAAACATTTACCACCGTATTACTGATAGAGGGTTCCTAATAGTCTTTATCCAATGGGCTTTACCAGTGTCAAAGTTTCTGTGCTCCATGATGCCTAAGGGTGTGCTACTTACAACACAGTAGAAAAATAAGTAGAAATGGATCTGCTCTCTACCTGTCACTGACGTGGGAAGAGTGTTGGCTTTCTTCAGCTGCTCTCTGCGCTGGAGCCTGGACACTGCAGTCTCGGGCTTCTTCTCTTCTGGCTGAGCAGTAGACTTGTGCAGGGAACCTGCTCTGCTGACACTGCTGCTTCCAGGCTGTGAGCTGACACTCACCTGGCAGGGCAGAGATAGGGAAAGCATGTTTTTAACCTATGACATGGAAAGATTTGACTTTGCATACTTCAGCACTTCCACCTACCAACTTTGACCTAGGGGAGCTGGACTGCACTTGTAAGCACTGTCTGTGCAAGCCCAGCCTCCAACAACAAAGCACCTGAGTGTCATGTGCCCCGGAGGAAAAGGTACCTTCAGGCTACAGAACCAAGCTCCTGGTTACCTTTTCTGTTCAGATCACCTCCTGTTTATGTTTCTTTTCTTTTTTTTTTTGGCGGTCGTGGGGCTTGAACTCTGGGCCTGAGTGCTGTCCCTCAGCTCTTCAGCTCAAGGCGAGCGCTCTACCACTTGAGCTACAGCGCCACTTCCAGTTTTCTGGTGGTTTATTGGAGATAGGAGTCTCACGGTCTTTCCTGCCCGGGCTGGCTTTGAACCGCGATCCTCAGATCTCAGCCTCCTGAGTAGCTAGGATTACAGGAGTGAGCCACCAGCGCCTGGCCTGTTTATGTTTCTTATACAATACTTGCCCTTCACCTGAAGACATATTCAGTGACCCCAGGGGATACCTAAAACCAGGGACAGCACTGACTTACATACACCCCTTAGCCTTAGACTTTAGCAGCATCAGCTGAGGACATTTTTTCTTTTCTGATTAAGTCATCAACTTTTTTATCTTTACATGGCAAGGAAATACTTTACAACTTCTTTTTGGCAATTTGAATGCATCTGAATTGCACCTTGGGACCATTCTTACAGGGCTGCAGTATTGCCAGTATATGTAATAACCAAGATGGCGATCAAGTGACAAAGGTGAACAGCATATGCAGTACAGTTACACTGGAAAAGGGATGATTTGGTTCCTAGGCAGGAATGCAGTGTGGATGACAAAAGATTTCATCACACTGTTTGAGGCAGTGACTGTTTAGGGGATTTTCAATCATGGTTGACTATGTGTAGCCAAAACAATGTCAAGAGCAACTAAAGTTATTGTAACTGGTAGGTGTGTCCCCTGTTGTAACTACATCACCAATTCTGCCAAATTTGGTATTCCTAAGGGGATAATGAAGCCAAACCAAATTTCACACTAGAACACTTCCCTCCTTTCAAAGTTAATTGGTCAATTTATTTATTGCTCTGCCCTTTGTAAACCCTACCATCAGCTAGCATCTTTAGAAAACTTACTTGTGCCAGTGGCTCATGCCTATAATCCTAGCTACTCAGGAGGTTGAGATCTGAGGATTGCAATTTGAAGTCAGATAGAGCAGAAAAGTCTATGAGACTCTTATGTCCACTTAGCCACAGATGACAGACAGACAGACAGACAGACACACACACATGTGGAGGAGATGTGCGGAAGTGGTAGGGTGCTAGCCTTAAGCACAACAGCTGAGGGACAGTGCTCAGACACAGAGTTCAAGCTCCATAAGTGGCAAACAACAACAACAACAACAACAAACCCATAACAAGAATCCTTGTGATCTAAAAGGCAGTCACACATAACACAACAAAATCACTGTTGAAGAGCAGGCTGGCTACTCACATTTTCTTTGGACAGCTTTTCTACCTGTTTGGCCTCTCTGGCTTGCTTCCTCTCCTCTCGAGTCGCTTGCTGTTCACGGAACCCCTTTTGCTTTTGCAGTGCTAATGTTATCCACAGTGGCTGGGCAGTTTCTGCTTTATCCGTAAGTCTGGAGCCATCTAACGAGTGCCTACTCTGAAGTAAGGGCTTGTCTGGACAAAAAGAAAGAAGAGGTTTGCTGTGACATCAACTGCTGACTTAGCTCCTCACCCACAAAAACTTGTGATATACTATCAAGCCTAGGAAACATGCTGATGCCCGAGGGATGCCAGTGTTGGGTAACATCTTTAATCAGTACAATCATAGAGAAGCAGGGCCATTCCCGAGAAATGGAAGGAGTTCTTTCTGAAGAGAAAGAACTCAGGAAATTCCAAGCTTACAGATACACATGTTCTGCTTTTCATTGCTATAATGAAAGTTACTTTTAGTGATGGAGGCTTTTGTCCTCACCAACATCTATCTTACTGAATCCTAGTGTTCAAAGGGCAGAAAAAGAAGCACTGCTCTATCTAATGGGGTTGCTGAGGGCTAGGGACCCTGGGGAAGACAGAGAAACAGACTGTGGCCCAGTGCCCAGTTTGATTGATGGAAGGACTAGGGTTCTGAGCACAGGTGTCCTGCCCAAGGCCAATCAGCAGGTGGCACAGGTGGAAGCTGTTCTCAGTCCTCTCATTCCCCCTCTGCATTGGAGTAAACACCTTGACATCAGAGTGAGAACTGGGCTCCGATAGGAGCAGATGTGACTTAGGTGGAAATGATAATGACATTGTGCCTGACTTATCAGGTTGCTATGAAAACGGAGAGAGGCTGGACATGGTGGCACATGCCTATAATCAATATCCACACAAGTGCTTCTCAAAAATGGGAAAAGGGCTCACTGGTAGAACACTTGCTTAGCATGGGAGAAGACAGTGAGTAGGGAGAACAGGAAAACTTTCTCCTTCACAACCACCCAGAGAACTGCAGAGAAGAGCAGAGAAAGACAAACTACACAGGAAAGAGAAGACAGAACTATGGCAAAGGTAACTATTGGCTACCCTTGGGCGTAACTGGAATATAGTGACCAGACAAGGGATGCAAGTCCAACTGGTACTTTGTATTTCTTTCCTATAAGGAAAGAACAAAGTTCTTCAGCCTAGAGCAGCACATTGAATAGCAAAACCCCAGGGAATGGAGGCAGCGCCAAAACAGGTGTTTTGCTTTCACGGTCTTTTCTGTTGCTAGAATAATTCAACAGCAGTTCGAAAACTCAAAATGTCAATACGGGGTAGAGTCAGGTGCCAAGTGGCTCACACCTGTAATCCTAAAGATTGAGGATTGTGGTTCAAAGCCAGCCTGGATGGGAAATTCCGAGACCATCTCTGATTAACCAGCAACCAGCCAGAGGTGGAGCTGTGGCTCAAGCGGTAGAGCACTGGTCTTGAGAAAGAAAAAAAACCAATGCCTAGGGACAGTGCCCAGGCCCCGAGTTCAAGCCCGGGACACATGCACGCACGCACGCACGCGGCTGGAGAGCAAGGAGCCTGGGGCTCTGATCATGGGGTGGGTGCTGCGTCTTCCACGGCCCTACCCACCTTTCCTCCCTGCCTCCGGGGTTTGGGCCGGTCTCTCCTGCTGACTGGCGGGCAGCGGCGGGGAGGAAGGGGGTCTCCTCTCTGGCCCCTCTTCCTCATCCCCCTTCTGTCCCTTGCTGTCCTCGCAGGGGGGCGGCGAGGGGGGCTGGGGCTCGCCGCTCTCCGGGGCCTCCTTGGGCGGCTCGCTGTCCGCCTTCCCAGCTCGCCGCGCCAGCAGCTCTACCAAGTAGGGCCTGCTGAGTTTGGAGAGCGGGGACGAGGGCGGGGTCTGGCCGGTGGGCTTGGGGGCCAGGGCCGGCTTCTGCACGGGTGGCGTTCGGGCCGCTGCCTTGTCG